GATAGTTAGCAGTTATTTTCTTTAATATATTTAGCGGCTATTTTATTTAGGTTAGTTAGAAGTTATTTTCTTTAGGCTAGTTAGCAGTTATTTTCTTTAATATAATTAGCGGCTATTTTATTTAGGTTAGTTAGCAGTTATTTTTCTTTAGGCTAGTTAGCAGTTATTTTCTTTAATATAATTAGCGGCTATTTTATTTAGGTTAGTTAGAAGTTATTTTCTTTAGGATAGTTAGCAGTTATTTTCTTCAGGTGAGTTAGCAGTTATTTTCTTTAGGCTAGTTAGGAGTTATTTTCTTTAGGATAGTTAGCAATTATTTTCTTTAGGATAGTTAGCAGTTATTTCTTTAAGATAGTTAGCAGTTATTTTCTTTAGTATAATTAGCGGCTATTTTATTTAGGTTAGTTAGCACAACTCGCTAGTCATCTCTATGTGACTTACTAAGGCAGGCACACAACACTCATCTTAAAAACAAACAAACAAACTAGTAAACAGTTAATCCTAAACACATAACACATAAAGCAAAATAAAGAAAACACAATTGTCAAAAAGGACGTGAAAACCAGATTATCCCAAAGAAAATAGCTGCTAACTAACCTAAAGAAAATAACTGCTAACTACCCTAAAGAAAATAGCTGCTAATTAGCCTAAAGAAAATAACTGCTAACTATCCTAGAGAAAATAGCTGCTAATTAGCCTAAAGAAAATAGCTGCTAACTACCCTAAAGAAAATAGCTGCTAATTAGCCTAAAGAAAATAGCTGCTAATTAACCTAAAGAAAATAGCTGCTAACTAACCTAAAGAAAATAGCTGCTAATTATACTAAAGAAAATAACTGCTAACTAACCTAAAGAAAATAACTGCCTACGTTTCCTTTCAACCGTGGGGGCGTTATAAAGTGACGCTCAATCCCACTATTCATAGGTAAAAGAGTAGCCCAAGAATTGGCGGTGGGTGGTGATGACTAGCTGCCTTCCCTCTAGTCTTACACTGCTAAATTATGGGCGG